GAGCTCGTCGACCCAACTACCTCCTGCGGCCTGGAGTTTCTTCTTCAGCCCCTCCATGATTGTTCTGTTGGCGTTCTCGACCTGCCCATTGCCCTGAGGGTAGGCAACGGAGGAGAAACGATGCCTTACCCCAAACTCCCGGAGGAGCTCTTGGAAAGGGGTTGCCTCGAATTGGGTGCCGTTGTCTGATATGATCTCCTGGGGGACGCCAAAGCGTGTGATGATGTTCTTGTAAACAAATTTTTGGCATCTGGCCCCCGTGATGCTGGCCAAGGGTTCCGCCTCGACCCACTTGGTGAAGTAATCGACGGCGACGATGATGTAGCGGTTATTCCCGGTGGCTCTGGGCAGGGGGCCGACCAGGTCAATCCCCCATCTGGAGAATGGAATTGCGGTGCTGACAGGGGCGTAGTTGACAGCTGGCCGACCAGGGGCCTTCTGGAGCACCTGGCATGTGGTGCACTTCCTGGCCAGGTCGGCGCAGTCGCGTGCCATCGTCGGCCAGAAGAAGCCCTGGACGACGAGACGCCGGGACATGCTGAAAGGGCCCTGGTGTGAGGAGCAGACGCCACAATGAACTTCTTCCATGGCTGTGTCGGCCTCGTCCTGGTGCAGGCACCGGAGGAGGGTGCCATTATAGGACCGTTTGTAGAGTTTGCCATCTTCGATGGTGTAGCTTGGGGCCCCGAGTTTGGCAAGTTTGGCCCTCTCCTCGTCCGGGGGCAGCTCCCCCGTCGTGATGAAGGTGGCGATGTCGGAGATCCAGTCCTCTGGTCGCTGTTGGACGCACAAGACGGGGCTGGCGTGGATGCTGGACATGCTTAACTCCTCGATCTTGGCCAACTGGGAGATGTGCTCCGGGGTGTCCGAGCTGAGCTTGGAGAGGATGTCGGCTTCGGCGTTCTCGGCCCTTGGGATCTGAGTGATCTCATGGGTTTCAAACGCTTTCAGCAATTCCTCCGCCGCTTGTTTGTACTGCTTCATCCGGCCTTCCTTGGCTTCGTATGATCCCTCCACCTGGCCCACTACCAGTTTGGAGTCGCACTTGATTTTGAGGTGCTTGGCCTTGAAGCCGGCGGTGAGTCTGAGACCGCTGAGGAGGGCCTCATACTCGGCCTCGTTGTTGGATACCCTGAAGTTGAAGCGGATGGCGTAGTAAGCTCTGAACCCTTCAGGGGATATGAGGACGACGCCGCCGCCGCATGATTTCGCGGCCGACGAGCCGTCAGTGAACAGGGTCCACGTGTCGTCCGGCTCCGGCCCGGGGTTGGCGACGGCCGTCTCCCTTTCTGTGCATTCAATGACGAAGTCGGCCAAGGCTTGCCCTTTGATGGATGGCCTTGGCTTGATCTCAATTTGAAACTGGCTGAGGAAGATCGCCCATTTCACCATCCTCGAGGAGCTTGTGGGGCTCCTCATGAGTGCGCCAAGAGGCTGTTGGGTCAGCACATGGACGGTATGGGCTTGGAAATAGTGCCCCAGCTTCTTCACTGTGTGGACGATGGCCAGCACCGTCTTCTCAATGGGGGAGTACCTGAGCTCGGCCTCCCTAAGTGTCTTGCTGATGTAGAAGATGGCCTTCTGCACCCCTTCGTCCTCACGGATGAGCACGGAGCTGACGGCCGACGTGCTCACCCCTAAGTACAAGAAGAGGGTTTCGCCGGCTCTGGGCTTGGAGAGCACGGGCGGGGACGACAAGTACCTTTTCAATTCGTCGAATGCTTCCTGGCACTCCGTCGTCCACTTGAAGCTGTTGGCCTTTCGCATGATCTGAAAGAAGGGGAGTGCCCTCTCGGCGGACCTGGAGAGGAACCGGTTCAAGGCCGCCAGGCGCCCCGTCAGTCGCTGTACCTCCTTGACGTTACGGGGCGGCTCCATGTTGATGATGGCCTGCGTCTTCTCCGGGTTTATCTCGATACCTCTCCGGCTGACCATGTAGCCAAGGAACTTGCCGCCCTGGACGCCGAAGGCGCACTTCTTGGGGTTAAGGCGGAGCCTGAACTCCTTCATGATTTCAAAGATCTCCCGGAGGTCGTCGGCGTGGGAGATGGCCTGCCTGCTCTTGACGATCATGTCGTCGACGTACGCCTCCATCGTCCGGCTGAGGACCGCTCTGAAGATTTTGGCCACCATCCTAGTATAGGTGGCGCCGGAGTTTTTGAGTCCGAAGGCCATGACGAGGTAGCAAAAGATTCCCTCCGGGGTCATGAATGCCGTCTTCTCGGCGTCATCTTCATGCATGGAGATTTGGTGGTACCCTCTGAAAGCGTCGAGGAACGACATCAACTCGCACCCCACCGTCTCGTCCACCAGCTGATCAATGTTGGGGAGAGGGAACGGGTCCATGGGGCACGCCTTGTTCAGGTCAGTGTAGTCAACACACATTCTGAACGTCGGCGGTTTTTGTGCGAGGACGACGTTGGCCAACCATGTCGGGTACTTCACCTCTTTGATGTGTTTGATTGAGAGGAGCATGGCGACCTCCCCTTTGACGAAGTCCCGCCTGTCGGCGGACAAGTAGCGCCGCTTCTGTTTGACAGGCGCGGAGGCCGGATCGACGGTCAGCCGGTGAGTGATCACCTGGCGGCTGATGCCTGGCATATCGTCCGGGCCCCACGCGAAGACAACGGCGTATGACCGTAGGACGAGGAGGATGGCGTCTCGTTGGTCCTGGGGGAGTTGCTTTCCGACCCTGAGAACCTGCTCCGGCCGGGAGGTATCCAGAGGGATTTCCTCGACCTCCTCGGCCGGCTCCGCATGTGGCCTCTCCTCGTCCATGGCGACGGCGGCCGTAATGGTGTCTATCCTCTGTCCTTCCCTTTCGGCTGGCCTCGTTAGCTTGAGGTAGCAAGCTCTGGCTATCCTCTGATTTCCTCTGGCGTAGCCGATGCCGTCATTGGTGGGGAACTTCAAACATAAGTGCTTCATGGAGATGATGGCCTCCAAGTCCTCCAGCGCTGGCCGGCCCAAGATCAGGTTGTGGGCGCACTGGTGGTTGACCACCATGAACTCCATGTCGATTTTGGCGTGGTGGGGGCCGTCACCGACTTCCACGGGGAGGACTATCGTGCCCTCGGCGTTGATAGAGTCCCCGGTGAAACCGGATAACGGGGTCTTGATCGGCTTCAGCAAAGCTCTGTCCAGCTTCAGCTGCTTGAAGGTGTCCAGGTACATTACGTTGACGGAGCTCCCCGTATCGATGTAAGTACGGTGGATGATGGAGTCACCGATCTCACATCGGATGACGAGGGCGTCCCTGTGTGACTCCGTACCTGGAGGCAGATCCTTGTCGGTGAAGGTGATCGCCTCCGTTCGCTGCTTCTTCGGATGGGGGGGAACGTGGGACACCTCCCCAATGTAAAGGGATTGGGCCCATTTCTTTCTCTGAGTGGCGGAGTCCCCCCCAGTGTTCCCACCTACGATGAGGTGGATGTGATTCTTCTTCGGCGGAGGCTCCTCGAAGTCCTCGTCGTCGCTGAGCCTACCAATCTCGCGCTTCTTCGCAGGGGGTTCGCCCCCATGTTTGCCGGTGTTCACCCAAGTGTTTTTACGTGGGCCACCTTTGACAAACTGGGAGAGTTCCCCCTGGCGAATAAGGCGCTCGATGGCCTTCTTCAATGTGATGCAATCGTCGGTGTTGTGCGACGAGTTCTTGTGGAACCGGCAGTACGTGCCGCCCTGCTGGATGGCAAGGATCTCCTCGGCCGGCCGAGGAACCTGCTCGATGAGGCCGTGCTTCTCGGCATAATCGAGGATGGTGCCGACCGGGTGGGTGAGGGTTACCCCCGGCCGTTCCAGCCTCGGCCGCCAGTGGCGGTCTTTCTTACTTTGTCCACCAGAGCCGTGGCGGCCCTGGGCACCCTGGCCGGCCGGGGCCGGACCCGGGGCCGGCGAAGGATTTGTCTTCTTGGGGGGATGGCCCCCCTCTCTCTTGTGATTGTGGAGCTCGTCGGCGTCGGCATACAAGCCTCCGCGTTGGAGCGCCTTGGCGTACGACCTCGGGGGGTCAGTGATGAGGCTCCTGGCGTACGGGGAGCTGCGGAGGGCTCCCTGGTACAAGGCGAGGAGGGTGCGCTCATCGGCCCCCTCGACCTCCTCGGTCTCCCTCGTCCACCGATCGATGAATGACCGGAGGGACTCCTCGTGCTGCTGCTTGACGGAGAGGAGGTGGGTGAAATACTTCTTGGCGCGCTTCCTCCCGGCAAAGTGAGTGAGGAAGCGCTGGGCGAGATCCTGCCATGAGTCAATGCTTCCTTCTGGCAGTCCGTTGAACCACTCGTACGCTGGCCCCTCGAGAGTAGAGAGGAACCAACGGCAGAGGTATTCGTCGGACGCGTTCACCATCAGCATGTTGTTTTGATAACGGCTGAAGTGCTCCTGGGGGTCTGATCGGCCATCGTAGGACTTGATGGCGTTCCCCCTGTACTTCTCAGGGATGGGGGCCGAGAGGACCCTGTTGGTGAAAGGGGTCCTAGTCCTGACCTGGATGATGGGGTCACCCCGCCCTTCGGCCAGCTCCCTCTCCAGGGCGCTAACTTTGTTCATGAGCGCGTTGAGGCCGGGGTCGTTGGAGGCGCCGGCCGTAGGGGTGTTGGCCGACTGCTTGGCCTCCATCTGAGCCAGCCTCCTTTCCAGCTGGGCGATGACCTCGTCCCGGGGGTCCCTATCGGCCGCAGCGGCGCCCGGCTGGTTCCTCAGGCGCTCGTTGTGAGCCGCGTTGATCTGGTGACGCACGTCATCCTCGTGCAACTTCCCCTTGCCCTTGTCCGGGCGGGGCTGGTCCGCTGTCCGGGACACAGACCCCAAACTTTCCCTTGGCGAGCCAGGACGAAGATCACCAATCCGTCCCGCCATCCTCTCCGAAACCGGACGACGGCGCGTGTCACCTAGCCTATTGAAGGCAGAGGCTTTTCCACGCGCTGGGGTCTGCCCGGGCCGAAGAGGGGAAGCAGGGCGGGAGTGGGACGACGCCGTGTCCTGGGCCACAACCCCCTCATTGTTGCCTATCTGGACGGCCAACGGTTGGGGATGAGGAGGTGGAGTGACGTTTCCCCCGGTCCTTGGCAAGAGTGCGCTGAGGACGGTGGGGTTCTGAGCTAGGCTGGCGATGATGACCGACAGCGCGGCCTGGACCTGTGGATCCACGGACGGAGAGGCCGCGACCATAGGCTGGGCCGGGGCGTGATCCGTCTTTTCAGCTCGCTTCTTGTCCAAGCCGAGGCGGGCATCAGGGGCGCCGCCGTTGAATTGGTTGCGGAGGTCCGTTGTGAGGTTGAAGGCCTCCTCGAAGAGGTCCCCTCCGCCGACCTGATCGGCCGTGGCGTCCTCATCGTGCTCCCTGGGCTCTTGGTCCTCATGGATGGCTTTGCTGACGAGGTTGCGGTTTGACTTAGTTCTCCCCATGATCAGTGGTTAGCTGTGCTTGGTAGCGACGAAGGGTGCTAACTTGATTGTTCTAGCTCTCAACGAGAGCACCAAATGATAGAGTATATCTAGAGAGAAGTGAGAGCTAGAGAGAGAAGTGCAATAATATGCTTCAATAGAATGATTTTGTAACCCCTATAACTACTCCCACAGGGAGTATTTATAGAGAAAATTAGGGTTGGGCTCCCAAGCCTTGGGCTTGGGAGGCCCATTTACAACTGGACCGCTATTGGGCCGAATACAAAGCCACTAATGGGCTGTACAAACGAGTAAGTGTAAAATCTGATTCTGGGAGGTCTTCTTGGCCGACGAGGGCGTGGCCGACGAGGGCACGGCCGACGAGGGCGCGGCCGACGAGGGCACCCGGGTTCCTTGGACTCAGGACCATAATCCGAGTTGGCTCCTTTTCGGCCGACTGGGGCGTCTTGGCCGACGAGGGCGCCACTCTGTTGTCTTGTGCTTTCTGTTCTTTCTGTCTTGTCACGCGCCATAATAATGCCTACCCCATTTCTAGTCTTATCTCTCCCCGAATACCACAACTTAAAACCTCTGGGATTAATCTCGCGTGCTTTCTCTCCAACCCATTTAGTTTCTTGCACACACATAATGCTGATATTCCTTCTGCTCATAACCTCGACTACCTCGGAAGATTTCCCTGTAAGAGACCCAACATTCCATGTCCCGAAACGCAATCTAGCATTCAACCTTCTGTTCTTAGCCCCATCTCGGACCCCACAATGCCCTTGCATATTTGACATCATCCGGGCAATGGGATGATGCGCCGCTTCTGGGCGGCGACCTAGCAACCTTAGCATTCTTATCACCACACCCAGGTCTATCAAGTGTAGCGCGCCCTTGCATATTTGACACCACCCCCAGGCGGAGGGATGACGCGTCACTTACGGGTGACGACCTAGCATTAGCGATTTTCATATTTCGATTCATGTCATGTGATGTGACTAGGTGATACTGTTGGCCGTCACACGCCTACCACAGCACCCTCCTCCTTTATCCTGGCTTGGGACAGGCATGATACCAAAAAAATGATAAAATTTGTGTGATTCTAAAATATTTTTATTTTGTTTTACTTTATCAATTCAATATGAACCACATAAGATCACTTCTTAATAACTGCACCACCTCCTAATGTCTCAATGTTTGTGAGACAGATGTAGAAATATATTTGATTCATTATTAGTACACAAAATGTTTAGATTTTAAAAAATTAAAATGGAACAAACTTAACAATATTTTTTTGAAAATTAAGTTTTCAACTCATTGATACATCAAATGCACTCAAAACACATAATGTGAATAGTGATTCAACATGTGAAAGTAGACCTAAGTCCTAATCTTAAGACCTTATGATTAACTTTTTTTACATCTTTCAGTTGTTTGTTTAAAATAGTTTTGAAGTAAGAACAAAAAATTCAAATTCCAAATTTATTTATTTTTACATCGAAATGTATGACTTCTTAATTCATAATTATTCGCAATAAAGAATTCAGCAAGAAATTGATGTAATAAAAAAACTTTTATATGTGAATATGTTGATGTTGCTAGATTGCAGGCAGGGACGGATCTAGGATTTTGAGTCGGGGGTGGGGGGTTCGTTAGTGTAGGAGAAAAAAAAATTCACTAGTGTAGCGGGGCGATTTTTTTTGCTAGTGTAGCTGGCCGAATTTTTCACTACTGTAACGCTCTGCGGCTATTTTTATTCAAAAAAATTTCATTAATATATACATGACGACATTTAAATCTATATATTACATTCTAAGTTTAGACAATGACAAAATAACTTTATTTTTATAATTGGAGTGCTCTAGAAAAAAGTATTGATACATCAAAGCGTAAGAAATGGCAAATCAAAGGAAAATAATATAAAAATAAAAAAGGATATATAACATTTTATTTAAATATAAAGAGAATATAAGGTACACATTCACCAATACTTTTAAAATAACTTCAACAATGTTTAACTACTATACATGAGTCTTATAGAAATAAAGAATTGATTTATGAATTACAATTTTTGTCTCCCATGAAGGGTGTTCATAAGTCACAAGGAGTTTTTTTTTAATATTACAATATTATGTATGATATTATTATTTTTAGAATAATATTATATTGCTAATTCATATATATAGTGCATATTATATTTGTATTAATGCTAAAATAATTACAGTTTATTATCTATGCAATACAGTCTTTTTAGAACGTAAGAAGTAAAATAATTGTATAATTTGATGCCAATAAACATTTATAATTTGGATTCACTTCACATGATCTAAAAACAATGCAGCTAGAGTGTCTGGTATTTAATATCGTTTGATATATATTTTTCGAAATTGTTTACTAGTTATCTAATAAAGATAATTAAACATTAAAAAAACTAAGAATTTGTATACAATAAGTATCCTAAATCTTAAATAATGAGTTGTTCTATTGTTTATTTAATTTATGTAAATTATTTTAGATGTCCCTTCTTTTAAATCTCCAATTAAGTATTACATTATGTAACACTATATATGTCCCAGAAAATTCTTCCCACTTTGACTTGGCACGGAGATTAAGAAAGTGGAATAAAGTGGAAATGTGTGGTTGTAGTTGTGTAAGAAAAAGTTGAAATGAATGTGAACCACACAAATTGTCCAAAAATGGTAAGTGAGAAGAAATTTTTGGGACGATCCAAAAAGGAAAGTATGAAGAATTTTATGGGACGGAGGGAGTAATTTTAAAAACTAAAAGTTAAGTGAGGCAATGTTCAATAAAAAGTTAAGGGGGCAATCTAATTAAAGTATCAAAATTTTACAAAAACATTACATATATAGTAGAAAGTTTTGAAAATTCAAGGGGAGCGGTCGCCCCCCGCTCCCCTTAAATCCATCCTTGAATTGATTGTAGGCAAGGCCGTCTAATGGATTTTGAGACCCTATTCTCAATGCTATATTTAGGCCTATCAATGGGTCGGGTCTAGACCTGGACCTGACCCGGACACGACCCGGACCCGATTGTTTCTAATGGGTACGAGTTTATAATTTATTCCGTTTACCCGGACCCAGATCCGGACCCGTTAGTATTTTAAATAAACGGATCGGGTATGGTACATATGATTCCGACCCGTTAAGGATCCGAACCCTTTTGAAATTTCTTATTTGTATACACATACACTCAAACACAAAGTGATTAGTTATAACACTTTAAATAAAATACTACCTCCGTCCCAAAAAGATTGATACATTTTGACTTTTCTTGGTCAATGGTGGTAAAGTTTAGACAATGATTTTAGGTATTATATTTGTTTGTAATTTATAAATTTTATACTTTTATGTAAGATTTTTTAATAAAGAATATGCTAATATAATTTTCATAGTTTAAATAATTTTGTATTAAAAGATATCATTGGTCAAACTTAACCATCATTGACCAAGATATACATAATAATACATAAAGTTATTAGTTATGAATTTGTGATTATTCAATAAAAATATACACATTAATACATAAATACTATATAACTGATATTGATCAAGATAGTAAGATATCCTAAAACTAATATTTATTACTATTATTATTAATATTATTATATCATTATCATATACTCCATATGAGTATAATACTACATATGATTTTATACTCTTAGTAGTTCAAAAGACCTTTTTATTACTTAATTTTTAGTTTATTCTACGAGTTTTTTGTGCGAAAGAAAGCGGCGCAAAGTGTGGGGCTATATGCATGTACAAGAACTGATACTTTATTAGATAAAAGTACTAATTTTCTATGAAAGACCTTGATTTTTTTGAAAAGTGAATATATATTTTGCTTTTAAATTTGTACACTTTGCTGTGTATTTCACATACATGTCTTGATATTTTCACAAAGTTTATAATGGTGTGAATATCATACTTGGCGGACGGGTCTACCCGACCCGCTTACGAGACCCGTTGAGTCTGGATCCGGGTCCAAATTTTCAGACCCGTCGGGTAAACGGATCGGATCCGGGTCCATTATTAACTTAGCGGGTCTGGATCTGGGTCTGGAACACTACGTTCCGACCCGGACCTGACCCATTGACAGGCCTAGCTATATTGAGACCACATGTAATGTGCAAAAACATAAAATTACACAACAAACTACATTAATCGTTGACCACACCCATAAGAAAGAATCAAAGAAGTGATCTCACCCGCACACAAAACTTGTTTAAGAATCAAAGAAATAAAAATTAAACTCAACTTGTTTGAGTTTGGAAGAGTCAGTAGAAACTGAGATGTCTGATGATGAGAAATAAAGAATCATCGCCGATTGCTTTATAGTTTGCTGTTTGTAAAACAGGGCTGCGGTTCTCCTTGAAATTGGGTCCGTTTAGATAAACAACGGGAGCATCAATCCGCTGATTCTTTTATACGTGAAAACGCTGCTAAAAGCAGCGGGAAAACCAAACAGCACCAATGTTAAACTCTAATACTCCCTCCGTTCCTATTATAACTTCCAATTTTCCTTTTTCGCCCGTTCCAATTAAAACTTTCATTTTCTTTTTTTGGGTAAAGAATTTGTGGTTCACAACATTTCTTATCCATTTCTCTCTCCTTTGCATAACTCTCCACCACACAATACCCACTATCTTAAATTGTGTATCAAACCTATTTACTTACACCTTTAAATAACCCCTTTTTTACTTTGTTTACCTCATACACGCAACTCCCTTCGCTTCAACTATCTCTAGCTCTCTAGTTGTCATTATTTCGTTATTCTTTAAACCGACAAGAGAGATAGGTGACGGACTCCACTAGATGAGTTCAATGGATTTCGATGCGGTAAACATGTGTGAAGCTAGTGATGTCCAAATTCTTGGATTTTGTTATTTGGTATACTATTTTATGTGTGCTTTGAAAATGTGACACCAATTGATAATGGGAGCTCCACTTATGCTATTTGTAGAGATAAAATTGTTTTTTCTATTTTCTTTGTGCTTTCTTTGTGTTACTATTGCATTAGTTGGAATCCCCGACGTCTCCCGATTAATGGCTCTCTTGACATGATAACATACATTGTTTTTGTTAATATCTTTGTGATGATTACCCTTTTGAACTCGATGACTGATTGGTAGAGTTCGGTCCTTTGTGGACCTCGCATGCTTGGTGAGCTTGCCACGAGAGTACTTTGTGTTTCTCATATATTACTTGTATTACTCGTCTGATGCACTTGTCATGGTTCAACGATGATGAGTCTCCTCACAACCATGTATATGGTACTCTACATCGTCTATGACCAATAAGATGAGAATGTAAGAGGTATTGGTCCTACGAATACCTCCCGTCCACTTAATTTCAGAGGCCGCATCCCATGTTTAACCCTACTCCTTAATCTTCTCATGACTCTGCTCCGTGGCCATTTGTTTGGCTGCTGCCTTAGGATGTTTTTACTTGGACTGTAATTTGCTGGTCTGGTCTGGTCTGATCTGGTCTGATCTGGTCTGATCTGGTCTGGTCTGGTTTCTTTGTATTTTTATAACTATCCAAGTCTGGTCTGGTCTGGTCTGGTCTGGTCTGATCTGGTCTGATCTGGTCTGATCTGGTCTGGTCTGGGACGAATTACAGTCCAAGTAAAAACATCCTTATAAATAATTCCTATGGCTTTACATGCCCGCTGCTAGCCTAACTGTTGTTGCTTTTGTCCATGCTTTCCTTGTGGTGTGTACAAGAGATGCAGAGAGCGAGAGTAGCCAGTCTTCTTCTTCTTTTCTTCGTGAGTCTCCTTTGTGTGGGCAAGGAGATAGAGAGTGTGACTGAGAGCTAAACATGGTCACTAATGGGGTGGCCGATCTTGAGTGGTACCGCGATCTTGAGTGGTACCGCGTAGAAAATCATTTTGACTATTTTTCATCTATTTTTCTTCATTTCACTAATAAATACATTGCAATAGAGCTCTCCCATATTTGAGCATATTCAACCATTTCTACCTGCATTTAATCAATTTAAATAGATTCAATCGATTAAGTCAGTTTTAGTGTTATAGTGTTATTAAACGAGCTCTTAATTTAAATCCCGAGCATTGCATCTTAAAGTAGAAGGGTGAAATGGTTGAAATGTTGACATAAGCAATTGAATTAACCAAATCTGCAGAATTCTGAAAAAATTAAATTCAAAATATGTTTTAGTAATAAAATACAGAAAAAATTATATAAAATAGCTAAAATGGGTCTCTATAGTAACTTCAGTCAATTCAACCAGAAAATTAACTCCAACCTTACTTATTTTGATTATTATACAATTAAATGCGTGAAATCAAAACGAAAAAGTTTAACATTTGATAAAATTTGATTGATAAGTTGAAAAATGGTCACCAAACAGGCTCTCAATGTTGTTAATTTTCAATTTAATTATTTATACCCTTTTTAAAATTTATGTTTGTACTCTCATAATATGTTCAATTAATACTTCGTATATGGTTATTGTATTTTTTCGTATTTTATGCCTTTAATAATTTTTGTGTAATAATAATTGAAAAAACATTGCTATCGGTTGTTGGGACCAGGTTAAGAACTTCCTGGGTGTGGGCAGGAACCGGTCTAGCTCTATCATTGTTCTCAAATCTCAACCCTAAAAATAGTGTGATAAAAAACAACAATAACGACCTATTCTTACTTTCAAAAGGTTAGGCATTACTCACGACTATAAATTCTATCATCACTGAGTTAATTGAGTTACCGTGATTTACAACTTTCCAAATACCTTGTTAAATCGAAAGGTTGGGAGCTCTTGAGATTGAGGATTCAATCTTTTGCAACATTTCAAAAGATTAGGGATGAAATTTGGTCCACTCCATCCCTATTCTCAACACAAAAAATAGTCTGATAATTTAAGAAAAGTTAGGGATAAACACTCAAAACCCAAAAGGTATGATGTGTTAGACAGAATGGGGTTGAGTGCCAATTAAACTTGTGATTATAAGTTATGATGTTTCAAAATATTCACGAATGGTCAATTAATTCCAAGCACGGGCAAGAAACAAGAATGAATAGCAATGTTTGAATTCAAGACTCATGAAATTTGCCTATAATACATTTCGATTTTGCTTCGTGTAGATGTCCAATTATACGTCGGTTTACACGTCCAAATGTAATTGTCTATAGAAAGACAATTACACTTGTGTTTCGTAAATGAATGTGTCTGTGATCCTGAATTTTCTGTATACAGATAATTAATTGACACTTCCTTTTTCTAAAACCCAAATGTAATTTTATGTGTAAGGATAATTATATTTGGGCATGTAAACCCAATCTAGTCGAGCGTGTACACGAAACAAAATTAGTATGTTTACTCAATCAAAAGCTAGCTTAATTCTTTAGGCATAGATCTCTTTTCACCTCAAAAGGATTTGGCTTTTCGAATACTTGCAGCTATTTATGACTTCACATGACTTTGGGTAATTCATCCGGAGTGCCGTGGCGGTTACAATTCAAACAATCCAATCTATATCGTGGCTTTTTATTACCTAGTACTTTTGACCTATTATATTCTCTCTTTTCGGGAAAAAATCTTTCCTCAGATATCTTGGTCGGCGTTTGCATGTCTTGTTTAATTTTTTAGTGAGTGTTACCGTGCTCATTTGATTGTTTTAAGTCATTATTTTATCATTTATTTATATGTCAACGACTCAGTTGAAATATATATTCTTATCGGTTCATATGAACAAAGTAAGGTATGATACTTTTAGAGTACTATAGAACTTGCCTTTGTTTAATACGAAAGAACTGCAACAGACGAGCGTCGTTATGCATTACATCGGGGTAAATGTGGGTGTTCTCACATTAAACATTGTTCTTATCTAATCATGAATATGAATTTAATTCAAATGAGAGCGTGATCTTAAGAAAGAATTGAGAATGATTCTAGAGTTTTGGATTTGAGTATTACGTATTACGTGACTAGAAATGTGTATTATCATAAATTAATTAGAAAATCTGAATTTATGTTATGCATTATTTTAATCACAAATGTGCACGTTTGAACGGTGCATTAATGTAACCATAAATGTGCATCTCCATGATCCGTATCATTTCATTTTTTACCCCAGTGCCGCAAAGGCTCCCACCTACGGTGGGGTAAGGGGGGGTCGAATGTACGCAGTCTTACCTCTGTTCTATAGCACAGAGAGACTGTTTCCAGATGATCCATAGTGAAAACCGCGTCCAAAATTGCATGGCCATTTTTGGATCGTTCTTATTTCTCATGAAAATCTAAAAAACGTTTTCACCAGAACCGCATCATATATATGCTATATAGGTTGTGAAGCTTTTTCCTCCACACAATGAATGAAAAGATTCCAAATCCGAAAATATAAATAAAAAGATAAGTAATACTACCTCCAACCATCCAATTGTTCTCAATCGATTAATACATGAGGGAGTGACGATGTAATTAAGTGAAGTGGAAATCTATCGTCGATATTGAATAGATAAAGTGTGAATAAAGTAAGAATAAATTTCTTTCATTTAAATATTACTCAATATAACGTCAGACAAATTTAGAGTATCTTCTATGCTTAACTATTTATTTGTGTAATTTGATTTGCCGCACCATCATTTTTAGCAAACATATTTTCAATGTACAAGGTATTTCAATAGTTAGCTATAAGCCTACAAGACTACAACTTCTCTTTTTTCATTTATTATTAATAATAATATTGTGTACTCCTTTCGTCTCTCAATCTTTGTCCAATTTTACCCTTTTCTCCCGTCTCATTAAGTTTCTCACATATCGCATTTACCATCAATTACGTACTCCGTAGTATTTAAGTGATTATAATTTATTCTTAAATTACTGGATCACACGTGGTAAACTATAATATTTGGGTGGTAAATTTATTCCAATATTAGATGCGTCATTGGATCGCCAGTCTGGCGTCAAATGGGCTTATGTGGGATCCAATTCCAACAAGTAGAAACGCACTACAAAATAAGCATGCCGGCCTTCTGCCCGCCACAACCCAAAAGGGAAACCACGCCCAATCATAGTCTCGGCTATGGTTATGACTCATGAATCCCCCATCCTAATCATCATCCAATTTAGAATTTACCACTCTTGTAAACCTTTTTTTAGGGTTACCACTTGTAATATAATAGTAATAATGCCAAATGTCCGGAAAAAGAAGAAAAATAATTTTTATGGTAGTATTAAATTTCACTCTAACAAGACTATTAATAAGAGTAAATTCTCTAAATAGGAGTAAACAAGTTTTGAAATTCCAAAATAGGAGTATCATGTTTTTTATTTCAAACTTTTAAACATGACATTTTTTTCCAAACTTGGCAGATTACTCCTATTCAAGGAATAAAAATCATGATACTCC